ACCTTCAGCTCAGGTCATGATCTCAGGATCCTGGGATTGAGCCCTGCATCAGGCTCCCTGCTCAGCTTCTCCCTCTCCTCCTACCCCGTGCTCATGCTTTCTCTATCTCTCTCTTTCTCAAATAAATAAATTCTTTTTTTTTTTTTAATAATTAAATTCTTTGAGAAGGTTCCCTTGGGGCAGCCTGGGTGGCTCAGCGGTTTGGCGCCTCCTTCAGCCAAGGGCCTGATCCTGGAGACCCAGGATCAAGTCCCAAGTCGGGCTCCCTCCATGGGTCCTGCTTCTCCCTCTGCCTGTGTCTGCCTCCCCCCCCCTTTCTCTCTGTGTCTCTCATGAATAAAAAATAAAAATAAATAAATAAAAAGGTTCCCTGAAAGAGAGTAACATTTTACTTCTGTGATCTCTTTACCTTATTTATATGTACTTAATAAACTAGGGAATAGACTAACCAGAAGCAGCAGCATCAACCAGGGGATGTTTCTGAGAGTGATCTCATTTTTATACCAGAGTGACTTGTTAAAGATCAAATAAATTGAGGCACCAATTTATTGAGCTGGGTGGCTCAGCAGTTGAGCATGTCTACCTTCGCCTCAGGGTGTGATCCCAGTCTGGGGATTGAGTCCTGCATCAGACCCCTGCAGAGAGCCTGCTTTTCCCTCTGCCTATGTCTCTGCCTCTCTCTGTATGTGTCTCTCATGAATAAATACATAAAATCTTTAAAAGGGGGGGGATGACACCTGGGTGGTTCAGTGGTTGAGTGTCTGCCTTCGGTTCAGGTCGTGATCCTGGAGTCCCGGGATCGAGTCCCACATGAGACTCCCTCCATGGAGTTTGCTTCTCCCTCTGCCTATGTCTCTGCCTCTCTCTGTGTGTCTTTCATGAATAAATAAAATCTTTTTAAAAAGTAAAATATGGGAAAAAAAAAAAAGTAAAATATGGGAAGCCCTGGTGGCTCAGTGGTTGAGCGCCGCCTTCAGCCCAGGGCGTGATCCTGGAGACCTGGGATCAAGTCCCACATTGGGCTCCCTGCGTGGAGCCTGCTTCTCCCTCTGCCTGTGTCTCTGCCGCTCTCTCTCTCTGTGTGTCTCTAATAAAAATAAAATCTTTAAAAAATAATAAATAAATAAGTAAGTAAGTAAGTAAGTAAGTAAGTAAGTAAAATAAGGGCAGCCCCGGTGACTCAGTGGTTTAGCACCACCTTCAGCCCAGAGTGTGATCCTGGAGACCCGGGATCAAGTCCCACGTCCGGCTCCCTGCATGGAGCCTGCTTCTCCCTCTGCCTGTGTCTCTGCCGCTCTCTCTCTGTGTGTCTCTAATAAAAATAAAATCTTTAAAAAATAATAAATAAATAAATAAATAAATAAATAAGTAAGTAAGTAAGTAAAATAAGGGCAGCCCCGGTGGCTCAGTGGTTTAGCACCACCTTCAGCCCAGAGTGTGATCCTGGAGACCCGGGATCGAGTCCCACGTCCGGCTCCCTGCATGGAGCCTGCTTCTCCCTCTGCCTGTGTCTCTGCCTCTCCCTCTCTCTGTGTCTCTCATGAATAAAATCTTAAAAAAAAAAAAAAAAGTAAAATAAGATCAAATAAATTACTTGTTTTGAACTTAACTACACTCTTTCAAGAGAGTTTGTATATTTGTTGGTGAGGGGAAAAAAAATTAGAAACAGTCTTACCTCCAGCAATCAGACTCCTAGGTATTTACTCAATTGATCTGAAAACTTATGCCCACGTAAAACCCCCACACAAATGTTTATATCAATTTTATTATAATCACCAAACATTGGAACCAAGTAAGATGCCCTTCAATAGATAGACAAACTCTGAAACATCCACACAATGGAGTATTATTCAGCAATAAAAGGAAATGAGCTATCAAGCCATAAAAAGACACAGGTTAATCTTAATTGTATATTGTTAAGTGAACGAAGCCTGTCTTGAAAGGCTACATACTATATGATTTTAATTATGTGATACTCTGGAAAGGGCAAAACTACAGAGATGGTGAAAAGATCAGTAGTTGCTGAGGTGGGGGAGAGGTCACAGAGGAAAAAGGGGAAGAACTGATCTGGTGAAATGTAATCTGTACAATACCATAATGATAGAAATAACACACTGTATTTATTAGAACCCACAAAACTTTAGAGCACAAAGAATATGCTTTAATGTATGCAAAATTTTAAAAGATGATTGAGAAAAAAAAAAAAAGATGACTGAGGTGGAGGATCCCAGGATGGAAGGCAGAATGCAACAAAACAATCTGTTACAACCGGGTGGCTCAGTGGCTTAGCGCCACCTTCAGTCCCTGGTGTGGTCTGGGTGTGGTCCTGGAGACCCGGGATGGAGTCCCACGTCAGGTTCCCTGCATGGAATGGAGCCTGCTTCTCCCTCTGCCTGTGTCTGTGCCTCTGTGTGAGTCTCTCATGAATAAATAAAAAAAAAAAAAAAAAAAAAAGTCAATGAAGGGAGTTGAGGGTCTAGGTTGGTAATTCTGATAGTGCTATACCTGCATACTAGAACTGAATCATTTAAGCCAATGGCAGATGGTAGGAGACAGGTTCTCACTGTTGAAGTGAGAAGTTACAAATAAAACAAGGAAGCAGCTAGAATGATACAATGTAGTAAGGGATTCCAGTTAGAGACATCATCAGTATGAACTCACATTTAGCTTAATGAAAGTTACACAGGAAAATAGTAATAGATACATGTACATACACTGTGAGCATACATATACCTATTTCCCTGCTTTGTCAGCCGAAAAGGCAACACCCAGTAAAAATGAGCACACCTTGCACCCAGACAGTGGCTTGCAATACTATTCTCTAATAAAAGAAACAAGGCTCCTTGGAGATACGGCTGATTCTAGGGTTAGAGTAGAAAATACAGAAGATAAACCTGGAGCATCTTTGTAGTGCCAAAAAGTAAAGAAGTACTAGGGAAAAACCCACCCACAATAATGAGGGAATGTCAAAGGAACACAGGAGCTAACCAAAACAACTCCCAATGGCCAAGGCAGTAACAATTTGAGCACTGAAATAAAGCAGTGATGAATTATAACCCAAAGTATAAGATGAATACCTAGAAGTCCATACGGATAAAAAATAAATAAGTAAATAGGAGAGAAGAGACAAAACTCTGGTTTAGAAGAATTCCAAACAATTTATGCAGATACCTGCATAACTTTCCACTCTTTAAGTGTGGATTGCACACAGTCCACTCCCTCCTAATATAGAAGGGGGTGAATGAATGAATGAATGAATAAATAAATAAATAAATAAATAAACAAACAAACAAACAGAAGGGGGTGGGGAGAACTCTACAAGAGAAATGTGACCTACACACTCCTCAGCCCGGTTATCAAGGTCAATGTTATGTCATAAACCATGTTGATATAACATAACCTTGATATGACATGATGAAAATAACTTATCGCCGTGGTCATCTTCCCCCAAATACATAACCCCAATCTAATCATGAGAAAAACATCAAATACCAATTGAGGGATATTCTACAAAATATCTGACCAGTACATCAAAATAGTCTAGGTCACCAAAACCAATGAGAGTCTGAGAAACCACCAGGGGCAAGAGGAGACATGATTACTAAGTATAAGGTGGTGTGCTGGACAGGAGCCTACAATGGGAACAGTAGATAAAAACTAAGGTTATCAGGATGAAATAGATGTTAATTAATAATACTGTAACAAATTTACCTTAGTAATGTAAGACATTAACAACAGAAAGAAAAAATATGTAGGAAAAAATTACTAATGAAAGTTGTCTCTCCCTCTGCCTATGTCTCTGCCTCTCTCTGTGTGTCTCTCATGAATAAATAAAATCTTTAAAAAAGGAGGGGAGGCACCGCCTGAGTGGCTCAGTAGTTGAACATCTGCCTTCGGCTCAGGTCATGATCCCAGGGTACTGGTGAATCTAGTGAATCTGTTATAATTCACTCTTATACCATTACTTTAGTGAATATGTTAAAGAGCATACCAAATTCTAGTGAACTAATTCTAATTAGTTCCATAGTGAGTAAATGGCATCCAAAAATTTGTGTCAAACAAAACTGGGCAATCAATACACTCATGCATTTTCTCCTTGATGTGTCAGTAAGGACAGTGAATACAGTAAATTTAAAATTGTAGTCTGTCAGAAACTGATCACAGAGATGTGCAGGCGAGTCCCTTCTCCTCTTTTCTTGAGGATGGGAGCCAAATCACAAGTTATTCAAGAATCCCCAGGAATGGCCAAGTGCAGACTCAACTCACAAACTCACACACCACCACCTCCACCAGATTAAAGACAATAATGGCTTTCATCTATATGAACTTGAGGCAGGTCACTGACTTTTCTTGAAGGAAGTTAAGTGGAGGGAGACGGCAGGTAGTTGGTGTCTCTAACAGCTTATTTTCTTTCCCTTAATATCCTGAGAGACAAGCCCTGCAGTAAGACAACCAATGCTGTATTTTTGTGAAGCTCTGCCAGCATCCATTTTTACTGGAGCAATAAAGAATTTGTTTAAAGAATGGCAGTGGAGGGATCCCTGGGTGGCGCAGCAGTTTGGCGCCTGCCTTTGGCTCAGGGCGCGATCCTGGAGACCCAGGATCGAGTCCCACGTCGGGCTCCCGGTGCATGGAGCCTGCTTCTCCCTCTGCCTGTGTCTCTGCCTCTCTCTCCCTCTCTGTATGACTATCATAAATAAATAAAAAATTAAAAAAAAAAAATGGCAGTGGATAAGAGCTTATAGCCCGGGGATCCCTGGGTGGCGCAGCGGTTTGGCGCCTGCCTTTGGCCCAGGGCGCGATCCTGGAGACCCGGGATCGAGTCCCACGTCGGGCTCCCGGTGCATGGAGCCTGCTTCTCCCTCTGCCTGTGTCTCTGCCTCTCTCTCTCTCTCTGTGACTATCATAAATAAATAAAAAAATTTAAAAAAAAAAAAAAAAAAGAGCTTATAGCCCTGAAACACAAGGTTAAGAAGAAATATCAACTTGATCCAACTTACAAGAGTTGTGCCGACGGCGGAAACTTTTGGATTGACTCAAGGATTCCGTGTGCCTGTCCACATAGCTCTTTGAGCACTGCTGCTGCTGTGGAGAAATGGCAACATCCTGACTCTTCACATCTGTCCTCTTAGGGATATTCTGAGGAGCACTGCTGGAAGAGGCTGGCTTCTTCACCAGCTTGCCCATGCCATTCTGGCTGATACCCACTTGGTACCCAACACCAGATGGGCCTAATTCTGTCTGATGAAGGTCTCCAAAATGCTGGTTTTCTCCAGGACCTGGTATCTCCAGAATTTTTAATTCCGTAATGTCACCTGCCCTGAAATACACAAAAGAGTCCAAGTCTCAAAACTTGCCTATGTAACAGTGTCACACCAATGTTCATAGCAGCATTCTCCACAATAGCCAAAAGGTACAAACCAAGTGCCCCCTGTAAGATGAATGGATAAACAAAATACAGCACATACAGCGAAGTACTTACTTAGCCTTTAAAAGGAGAGAAATTCTAACACATGCTACAACATGGATAAACCTTGAAGACATTATGCTAAGTAAAATACACCATCACAAAAGGACAATTATTAAATGATCTCACATACCTAAAACAGTCAAATTCAGAGAAAGAAAGTAAAAAAGTGGTTTTTAGAGCTAGAGGAAGAAGAGATTGGAGAGTTAGTGTTTATAGGGTATGAAGTTTCAGTGTGGGAGGATGGAAAAGTTCTAGAGGTGGATAGTGGTGACGGGTGCACAATACGTGAACATACTTAATGCCACTGATTTGTATACTGAAAAATGGTCAAAACATAAACTATATGTTATGGATATCTCATCACTTTAAAAAATAATACAAGCAATGTAAAAAAGACAAAGCACGAGAGTGATAAAAATGATGAAATTGGGATCAATAGCAACCAGTTACACTTTTGCAGAGCTGTAATTTTTCCCCCTAATTGAAGTATAGTTGACATACAGTATTATACTAATTCCAGGTTTACAACATATGATCTGATATTTATATATACCACGAAATGATCACCACAAAAAGTTTAGTGATATCTGTCACCATAGAAAGTTATTTTATATATATATTTTTAAAGACTGTATTTATTTGACAGAAAAAGACAGCATAAGCAGGGGGAGCTGTAGGCAGAGGGAGAGGGAGAAGCAGTTCCCACTGAGAGTAGGGAGCCCAATACAGGGCTCAATCTCAGGACCCCCTCGGATCATGACCTGAGCTAAAAACCATGCTTAACTGACTGAGCCACTCAAGCACCCTGAAAGTTATTTTATATTAATGACCATATTCCCTATGTTGTCCTTTACATCCTTATGTCTTACTTATTTTATAACTGGAGTCTGTACCTCTTAATGGCAGGGCTTCATTTCATTGAAATAGCAGAGGCAAAAATGAGGAAAGGTGGTAGAGTACTTAAGGACAAGGCTCAGGCACCAACACTGCCCTTTAAAGAGACCTATTGTTGGGAGCCTGAGTGGCTTGGTCAGTTAAGTTTCTCTGCCTTTGGCTTAAGTCATGACCTCAGAGTCCTGAGATTGAGCCTCATGTCAGGTGGATGTAAAGGAATGGAAGAATACATGAAAACCCAAAGAGGCAACAGAGAAACTAAAAGAGGGAACTTCAATAGTTAGGGAGCATCTAGATTAACGTTCAAATTAAGATACTGCAACTCGATTTGGCTATTAGGTCATTTGTAACTTTGGCAAGAGTGAGTTCAACAAGATGGTGAAGTTTGAAAAGTGGGGTAAAGAAAGACTAGAGAATGAGGCCACAAAGGGAATGAAAGCAGACTACTATTTTGCTCTGGAAAGAACTGTGGTATGTATAAAGAGAAGGGAAATGACAGGGCAACAGCTGATGGCTCACACAAGGCGTGGTGGGTATGTTGGTGTGTATGGGTGTGCAGGAGTGTGTGAACTGTGGGCAAAGGCTGGAGAGGGCTTCACAAGAATGCAAAGAGGAAAACAGGTATGAAAGTTGAAAATAAAGACACAAGAGACTGAGAACGGTATGAAAGGAGACCAAAAAGGAGAGTATATAAAGCATATGGGATAAGGCCTGAACACAAAGGGTATGTCTTCTATTGAGACTTCAGAAGGGGAAAGAAATTAAGAATGGATACTCCTACAGAAAAGATTAAATGAAGGTATTGTTCCGAAAGTCAAGGAAGCGCTTATCTGACAGTTGTTTGTTGCCACTGTTCTTGTTTTAACCTAAGAAAGGGAGATTTTTATGAAAAACTGGTGAAAATAGAGATGTGAAGGCCACTGAACTTGAGATCCGCAAAAACTAAGAAAACTACATTCCTATAACTACAGACGTCAGCTACTGGCGACAGTGTGCTTCCAGAGATAAATTATAATACAAATCTACAAAGAGAGATACATTTATGTGGTGGTGGGGGAGGGAGAGATCAATAAAACACAAATAATAAAAGCCTAAGAAAATAGAGGATTCTGAATTTGACTGTTTTAATTAAGAATATTGAGTGTTTGACAGAGATTAGGAAAAGGTTTCACAAACTCTGACCTATTAGCTAATAGTTAATGACGACATAAAGTCCACGCTGAAAACAGCTGCTAGCCTGTAAGAGTTAAGACTGTAAAACCTCACCCCTGACAAGACTACTCAGATGCAGCCCTCTGCAAGAGAATACTGGCCACTGGACCTAGGCTCAAGCTCCACAGACCACCAGACTAGATCTGAAAAACTCAGCAAAGACACTCACCTGAAGGTGACTTCCGGCACGAGGCACTTCACTCCATTGTGGAAAGGCCGGGTGAGAGAAATGGTCTGGCTGACCTGGTCCACCGCGGACACTCGTCCCTGATAGACTCCCAAGCTATCTCCACAGTTGATGGACACAATACTGCCCAGCCAATCCGTAGCCATGATTCTGATGTAAGGCCACTGTCGAGAGAAGGAGCCACACACAGCTTGAGAAACAGACAAACCTTTAATTAAATTCAGCAGAGACTAGGTCAGGCTCTGAACCAGGTGTTGCTTAATAATGCATGTTCTGGGGGTGTCTGGGCAGTTCAGTCCATTAAACATCCAACGTCTGATTTCAGCTCAGCTCACGATCTCAGGGTCGTGGGACAGAATCTGGGGTTGTGAGACAGGGCTCTGCAACCAGTGGGGAGTCTGCTTGGGGTTCTTTCTCTCCCTCTCCCACCTCCATCCTGTGTGCATGCATATTCTCTAATAAATAAACTTTTTTTTTTTAAAGATCTGAGACCTTACAACTGGGGGGAGGGCAGAGGGAGAGGGAGAGGCACAAGGAAACTCCCAGTGAGCAGGGACCCTGCTCCGGGGCTTGAGCACAAGACCCTGAGCGCTAGACCTGAGCCAAAGGGAGGCACCCAGGCGCCCCCAAGTTTTATTTTTCATACTTTATTACTTCAATTAAGGATGTGACAAAATGTGTAGTATTCTTTTTTTCTTAAAGATTCATGTACTGGGACCACCAGTGGCTCAGCTGTTCAGTGCCACCTTCAGCCCAGGGCCTGATCCTGGAGACCCAGGATCGAGAACCGTGTCGGGCTCCCTGCATGGAGCCTGCTTCTCCCTCTGCCTGTGTCTCTGCCTCTCTCTCTCTCCCTATGGCTATCTATCATGAATAAATAAATAAATATCTTAAAAAATAAAATAAAATAAAATAAAATAAAATAAAATAGAAAAAAGATACGCCAGAGAAAGACAAATACCATAGATTTCAATCACACGTGGAATTTAAAAAACAGGGCAGGGCAGCCCGGGTGACTCAGTGGTTTAGCACCAGCCTTCAGCCCAGGCATGATCCTGGGGTCCCGGGATCGAGTCCCACATCAGGCTCCCTGTGTGGAGCCTGCTTCTCCCTCTGCCTGTGTCTCTGCTTCTCTCATGAATAAATAAAATCTTTATTTTTTTTAAAATTTTTATTTATTTATGATAGTTACACACAGAGAGAGAGAGAGGCAGAGACATAGGCAGAGGGAGAAGCAGGCTCCATGCACCGGGAGCCCGATGTGGGATTCGATCCTGGGTCTCCAAGATCGCGCCCTGGGCCAAAGGCAGGCGCCAAACCGCAGCGCCACCCAGGGATCCCATAAAATCTTTAAAAAAATAAAAAATAAAAAAAAGAAGAAGAAGAAGAATTCTCAAAACTCAGTAGTGTTAAAAAAAAAAACAGGAATATTTTTAAAAATCCAATTTAAAAAATGGTCAAAATCTGCCTGTGTCTCTGCCTCTCTGTGTGTGTGTGTCTCTATGAATAAGTAAAAAAAATTTTTTAAATAAAAAAAAATGGTCAAAAAACACAGACATTTGAACAAAGAATATATACAGACAGTCAAGCAAGCACATGAAAGATGCCCAGCATCATTAGGGAAATACAAAGTAAAACTACTGTGACGTATCACTATATACCCACCAGAATGGCTAAAATAAAAAAAATAGTGACAATACCAAGTCCTGGAAAGGAAATAGAAAAACTGGATTCCTCATACATTGTTGATGGAAATATTAAATGGTGTGGCCATTTTGGTAAACAACTTGGAAATCTGGGACGCCTGGGTGGCTCAGCAGTTGAGCACCTCCCTTCAGTCCAGGGCGTGATTCTGGGGTCCCGAGATCAAGTCCCATGTCGGGCTCCCTGCATTGAGCCTGCTTCTCCCTCTGCCTGTGTCTCTGCCTCTCTCTCATGAATAAATTTTTAAAAAAAATTTTTTTAATTGGCAATCGATAAAAAAAATAAACATGCAACTGCTACATGACCCAGCAACTGCACCACTGGTCATTTATCTGAGGGAAAGACTTAAGTTTACACTAACAGCCCCAAACTAGAAAACCCACATGACCTTCCATGGATGAATGCTTAAACTGTGGTATATCCATACCACAGAGAAAAAGTGAAAAAGTCAACTCCCAAAAGTTACATTCTGTATAATTCAGTTTGTGTTAACATTCCTGAAATGGCTAAAGAGGGCAGCCCCAGTGGCCCGGCAGTTTAGCACGGCCTTCAGCCCAAGCTGTGATCCTGGAGATCCGGGATTGAGTCCCACGTCAGGCTCCCTACAGGGAGCCTACTTCTCCCTCTGCCTGTGTGTCTCTGGCTCTGTGTGTGTCTGTCATGAATAAATAAATAAGTAAAATCTTAAAAAAAAAGAAAAGAAAAGAAAAGAAAAGAAAAGAAAAGAAAAGAAAAGAAAGAAAAGAAAAGAAAAGAAAAGAAAAGAAAAGAAAAGAAAAGAAAAGAAAAGAAAAGAAAAGAAAAGAAAAGAAAAGAAAAAAGAAAAGAAAGAAATGACTAAAGACATGGAGATGAGTGGTTCCCAGGGTTTAGGAAGGTATGGAGGCAGGAGGAAAATGAGAATGGCTATAAAAGGACAATAAGACAATAAGGGGATCCTTGGGTGGCTCAGCGGTTTGGCGCCTGCCTTTGGCCCAGGGCGCGATCCTGGAATCCCAGGATCGGGTCCCACGTCGGGCTCCTGGCATGGAGCCTGCTTCTCCTTCCTCCTGTATCTCTGCCTCTCTTTCTCTCTGTGTCTATCATGAACAAATAAATAAATCTTTTAAAAAATAAAAATAAAAGGACAATAAGGGGATGTCTGGGTGGCTCAGCACTTGAGCCTCTGCCTTTAGCTCAGGGCATGATCCTGGAGTCCCAGGATGGAGTCCTGTGTAGGGCTTCCTCCATGAAGCTTGCTTCTCCCTCTATGTCTCTGCCTCTCTCTGTCTCTCTCTCATGAATAAATAAAATCTTTCAAAAAAAAAAAAAGGACAGTATGGAGGATCCCTGTAGTAATGGGAATATTCCGTTCTTTGATTGGTAGTGACACGGTACTATAATTTTTTGAAGATGTTATCAATGAGAAAAACTGGGAAAAGTATATGAAATCTTTCTGTATTATTCCTTAGAAGTGCATACAAATCTACAATTATCTCAAATAAAAAGTTTAATTGAAAAAAATCAAAAAAAAGAAAAAAAATCAATGTCTTCTACAGCATTAACAAAATAAATGAGGAAATCATGTATGATATCAATAAATATAGAAAGATAGGGGCACCCGGCTGGCTTAGTAAAGCATGTGACTCTCGATATTGGGGCTAAGGTCAAGCCCCACATCGGATATAGATTACTTAAAAATAAAATCTAAGATAAATGCATAAAGATAATCCAACAAAACTGAACACCCATTCATGTTATCAAAAAGGGTAGTGGTGGTATCTACAAAACAATTACAGCTAACACCATATTAATGCTGAAATAATGAATCCTTTACCCAAGACTAAGGACAAGGCAAGGATGTTCACTTTCACCACTTCTAAGCAACATTACACTGTACATCCCACTCAGTGCAATAAAACAAGAAATAAACACAAAGAGGGACACCTGGATGGCTCAGCGGTTGAGCTCTGCTTTCCGCTTAGGGTGTGACCCTAGAGTTCAGAAATCAAGTCCCACATCGGGCTCCCTAAGGGGAGCCTGCTTCTCCCTCTCCCTTTGCCTATGTCTCTGCCTCTCTCTAGAGTATCTCTCATGAGTAAATAAAATCTAAAAACAAAAAAGAAAGAAACAACAAATATTGAAAAGAACTATATAAATGACTTTTGTTTTTAAGATTTTATTTATTTGACAGAGAGTGCACAAATGAACAGACCAGCAGATAGAAGGGAGAGAGAGAGAAGCAGGCTTCCCACTGAGCAGAGAGCCCAGTGTGGGACTCAATCCCAGGACTCTGGGACCATGACCCAAGCCAAAGGCAGACACTTAACTGACTGAGCCAACAAGGCACCCCATAAAAAAAAAAAAATTAAGATTTTATTTATTTGAAAGAGAAAGAGACTGCACACATAAGCTGGGAGAGAAGCAGAGGGAGAGGGAGAAGAAGGCTATCCACTGAGCAGGGAGCCCCAAGTGGGGCTCAATCCCAGGACCCCAGGATCATGACCTGAGCTAAAGGTAGACACTTAATTGAGCCACCCAGGCACCCCTCCAAAAAGGTCTTTATTTATAGCCATACAATTGACTGTATGTAGAAAACCCTAAGAAATGTACCAAATAAAAAATTCCTATTAGAATTAATTTAGCAAGGTCACAGGATACATGCTGAATTAAAATAAACAGTATTCTTTACAATAGCAATAAAAACTGAAAATGAAATTTTAAAATACTATTTATAATAGTATTAAAAAAACATAAGGTACTTAGGACTAAATCTAATGAAACACGTGCAGAATTTCTATAATGAAAACAATACGAGACCCCTGAGAAAAATTAAAAGACGACCTAAATAAATGGAAAGATGCACCACCTTTGTAAGTCAAAGGGCTCATTGTCAATTCTCTCCAAACTGATCTACAGATCAAACACAAATATCGATAAAAATCCCAGCTGGTCTTTGTTTTTGTTTTTTTTTTAAGATTTTATTTATTTATTCATGAGAGACGGGGGGGGGGGGGGGGGGCAGAGACACAGGCAGAGGGAGAAGCAGGCTCCATGCAGGGAGCCCGACATGGGACTCGATCCCGGGACCCCAGGATCACGCCCTGAGCTGAAGGCAGATGCTTAACCACTGAGCCACCCCGGCATCCCTGTCAACTGTAATTTTAAATAGACACTGATATCATTCAAGTTTATATTGTTAATAACAGAATTTTTTTTTAATTTTATTTTTATTTTATGATAGTCACAGAGAGAGAAAGAGAGGCAGAGACACAAGCAGAGGGAGAAGCAGGCTCCATGCACCGGGAGCCCGATATGGGATTCGATCCCGGGTCTCCAGGATCGCGCCCTGGGCCAAAGGCAGGCGCCAAGCCGCTGCGCCACCCAGGGATCCCCAATAACAGAATTTTTAATAGTTTCTTTCTTTCCTTCCTTCTTAAAGATTTTATTTATTTATTCATGAGAGATAGAGAGAGAGGCA